ATCTCTCATATGCCACCATAAATATTCTAGCACAGAACCCAATCTCAATTTTTCATGATCAGCTTGAGGCTTATCTGCACATTTATTCTGAAGAGGGAGAGTGTGGGAGAAAGCTCTTGTTGTAAGGACAAATGCAGAACCAAGCCCGGAGGAGCAATTGAGAACCCGGGGATGACTCTCACGTTATGCTTAAAGCTACCTATATGAAAATTTTTAACATTAAACCTCCCTCTAAACCTAAAGTTAAGTTCTCTCTCGCTCTCTTTCCTCTCTCTCTCTCTCACACACACAGACGCACAAACATGTGGAATCCTAATTCTGTCACAAGATAAGCCAATTGCAACACACACCAGTCCATCTGAAACTGTAAGCTATAGGCCATAGTTAAAGGAGGCGTGCTTTGGCACATCACCTTGAAAACATAGCACACGGAATGCCAAATTGGACACATAGCTTGAGCTCTGTAATAAGCAGTAATATTTGCCCGATATCAATCTTACTCAATATCAACCAGCAGTACCACATAACCATGACACAATTGAAGTTCTTATAAGATTTTTATAGAGCAGTTAACTAGATACTTTATCTATAGGTCAAAAAATATTAAATCAAAATGCAGCGGTACGCAGGTTTGGTATTGAACTTTAAAAGGAGTATACAAATTCAGAAAATAGGCCATGCAGCCACACAGCCAGTAACTGGATTATTGCATGTCCACTTAGAATTCATTACAGGTTCCAAGTTTTCCGAGTCCCTCAGCTATGTTTATGGAGCCATTGATGGCCATTAACTACATTGCAGATGTTCGAAATTGAAAGCACATATAAGCCAATTGACTTGGGAGTAATACGAACATGAGAGGCGGTCAATACTTGCATTCTAAATGTACCCAGTAAGAACAAATTTTTATGCCGTCATAAAAAAACATCAAGTTTGCTAAAAATTCCAAATTTGCAGTACATATACATGCCAAACATTTTGCAAAATATTAAAACTTATTGAGGTTATATCAATATTTTAATAAAACTGATACCAACCAAGATAAGTTTCAACAGAAATTAGGGTAAAAAAAATTATCAAAACAAAATAATACAACCAAAATACATAAAGGATAAGCACCTACAATTCAAGAGGCAGGCGATCTCTCCCAAACCCTAACCCTAGCACTTACAATTCGAGAGAGAGGCGATCTCTTCCAAACCTTAACCCTAAGGTTCAAGATCACAATCTCATAGTATAATCCTAACCCTAAACATATTAGCTCTATTTATATCCCACAATAATAAAATAATAAATTACCAAATTACTCTTTTAGCCTTGGGCCTAAAATAAGTCCTCAAATTACTCAGTGTAACATTAATCAGAAATTCGTAGTGACCCTCATCAATTCAAAAAGTAGCCTTGTGCACATCTTTCAACTGCATTCAAACCTACTGGTATCCTGACTTCAAGTTAACATTGGAGAATATCGCAGCCCCACACAACTCGTCTAGTAGCTCATCAGTCACTAGGATAGGAATTTTGTCAGGCATTGTCTTCTCATTCACTGCCCAATAATTCACATAGAAGCGCCAACTCTCATCCTTCTTTACTAACAATACTAGGCTAGAGAAAGCTCACAATTGGTTGTATTATCCATATCTCAATCTCGTCCTTTTATACTTTGGGGGTGGTGGTATGGGCGTACACTGATAAAAGAAGCCCCCTGTCTCAGGATTATTGCATGCTTGAGTGTACTCCAAATTTCTTCGCTCAATCTCATGGCTCAAAGTTTGTCTAAGCCAGCGATGTTGCCCTGATGCCACGCAAATCCTTCACATTGCTATCGCTCGAGTCTGCTCTCGATTCCTATGCTCGATCCCACGACTCCAAATCCAGCTAATGATGTGACGTTGTCGTGTGAATCCTTCTTATTGTTGCAGCTCACGTTCGCTCCAGACATCGTCACTCAATTCTGATGTAGGTGGAGACGGGTATGAAACTTCACGATCTTCTTCATTATTTCTTCCAGAGTCGTTAGTCACCCCTCCATGGACAACCACCCCTCCATGGACAAGAAATGCTCCTCAATTTCAAATCAGCTATGGCTCGTCTCTTCATTTAATTTCTTCTCTAAAGCATCTATTTTTTAGCTACCTTTACTCCCAAAAAAATTTCAATCAATATAGCAGAACTCTGTAAGTCGCAATCTAGTTTGTTGGTTTTTAGGCTAGTCTATTGGCAACTATATCATTCGATCACCAAAGATATGTGATTGTATCATTCGTATGTGTGGTTTGGTCCTTACAGTACACCGCGATATCATCGGCATCCAACTAGCAATCGTGATTGTTCGCGACTAAGGCATGTTGATTGTGGCTTTCCTGTACTTGTTGATCTTCAGTCTCGAAGGCGGTTCCAATGTTGCAATCCCGGTGATCTTCCCACATCGCCAAAATGACGACTGTTGTCGTGAGTTAGGTCACAAATGCGGTGCGATTCAGTGGTTGCTCTCCAGAAATCAAGTTCTTATGCAAATTTGATGTGAACCAAGACGAGTTTCCACAAAAAAATAGGGTAAAATAAAATATTTTAGTTCATCAAAACAAAACAACACAACCTGCTACATAACGGATAAGCACATACAATTCGAGAGGTAGACGATCCCTCCCAAACCCTAAACTTAAGGTTCAAGACAACAATCTCATAGCATAACCATAACCATAACCATAACCATAACCATAAATATAATAGTCTTATTTATACCCCATATTAATAAATAACAAATTATTACATTCTCATTTTAGCTTTACGCCTAAAATAAATCTTCAAATTATTTGATGGGCTCGGTGTCGGTGTAGCAAAATCTTAATTGATAAGAAGTCAATTAAAAGTTGTAATTAATTTAGGAACTTGCTCTTCAAATTTTGAGCCATCATGAGCCATCATAATAAAATAAACTCTGAATTATAAATTTGATTTCATATTGCTTTACCGATCTCTTTTCTTTTCTCATGAAGTTCCAACTAAACATATTTTTTCAAATAAAAGAAAATTCACAAAAAAGGTATAGCGTCTACAATAGAACCCATGATAAATTTTAAGGGAATTCTTATGCCTTGCACATGAGAAAAAACATCAAACAAGTTTTAGTTTTAATGACTAGGTCAGGGTTAAGAAAGACTAAGAAGACTACCTCTGTACTAATTTCTAAGTCTGACTGGGAAAGACCGAGGGGGATTTAAAACTTCCTAATCTCTTAAAGGATTCTTTGTTTTTATGTTGTACTAGAGAATGTCATTCATTGCCTATTCAGTCCTTTATTTATTTGGGGCATTTACATGAATACCACTCAATTCCTTCGTATTCACATATTTAAATCCTAAATATTACTTTTTATATTTATACCACCCAAATTTTGTATATCATATAAAAAATAACATCATTTTACTTTTAGAAAGTTAAATACACTTTTTCATGCATAGTTAAGTAATGTAAACATTCCTTTTTTTTTAATTGCAAAAATAGAATCATCAAAGAATACCACACATTAGTGTAGTTCATGTTGAATGAGAGTCGCCAAAACACAAAAGCTTTCTGTGCCAACTTTAACTAAGCATAAAATTCTAGAGTCAAAATGATCATCTTCGCACTAGAATATGAAACATACACTTAGAATCCCTCTTAGGGCCCCGAGCATTGCAAAAGATATTCGTGCTAATCAAATTTATAGCCCTTGGTGGCGTTACTAGAGCAAGGATTTCATATGTTATGATAAATTTATCCATTCATAAAGCATTGACAAGAGTTGCAGCGGGGTGAGTTTTTTCCCAACTTGTGAACATTATTTGTTAGATATCAATGTGGACCTTGTGCGAACATGCATATTCAAATATCTGCACTATCAACTTTTAATGGTAGGATAAAACTATTATGGTGGTGAAGGGTGATGGAGAATTGGGGTTCGACTATGAAAAGAGAGTGATCCCACGGACCATGAGGAGGGCGATGGTCTTGTGAAGCCTTGCATATCCAAAGTTAATTTGCTTAATTTCTATTATCTCTATTTGTTTTCACATGCATAATCCATTCTTCTCTTAATTTACTTCAGGCTTGCTTGGGATCAATTTTGTTTTTTATGTCTGTTTTTAGGTTTTTTTTTTTTCTTTTATTTTTAATAACTTGTTATTTTAGTGCGTTTTTTACGTATTTTTACTTTTTATTTATAAAAACAAATTAACATGTTTTTCGAAACACTTAAAAAATATTTTGAGTGATTTTAAAAACAATCATACCGTAATCAAATAATCAAACATATTTTATTTCAAATCAAAACATAAAGAAAATAAAATAAAAAAAAAATATGAAAATAAATAAAAAAACAAAAGAGATTTCAAACATCCCCTTCATTATTGAGAAAAACCAAAAATAAAAAAGATAACATTTTTGCAAAAGTCCCGATCTAATTCACTGCAGATTGAGCCCGTATGATGTGAGCTGAGCGACACATCTGAAATTGGAGACAAACACCTTTTACATGATAAGGCCACCTATTATCGTAGAAAAAGCACCTAAAATTTACTTTATGCCAAATTTAACCTTATTTATTACCCCTACGTTTACTTCTTTAAATTTTCTAGAAGCATTATTCCAACATCTAGATCCATTGGCAGGGCCGTTAACTTATTTCATGCATGATTAATCAAACAAGAAAGATGAGAAGAATCAGATGAAACATATTTTGGAAAACCGAGAAGATGAGAAAACATTGATGCATGCCACTTGGGCAAGAATGAAGTAGGAAAAAATATGACAATGGTGTAAATCCTGCAAGCAAAAATATCATACATGGAATATCTCAGGTTTTAAAAAAAGGACATCATTTTCCTGTTAAATTTCAAGAATCTTAAAACAAGAGAAATATCAAACGCGGCTTTGTTGGTTAAAAAGAAAATAAGTACAAAGAAATTCATACCTTAAGCTTTCCAGCAACAGTGCAAATTCTAAAATGAAACTCATACCTTAAGCTTTCCATCTAGAGTGGAAATTCTAAAAGGATGCCACTCTGGAATTTTCAATTCAGCTTGCCACTTTGAGCAAAATTCTGCAGCTTTTACATCTGCCACTTCTCTACGATATTTTTTTATACAAGCAGCATGAAATATCCTTTCATCAAGTTCACCCATCCTTTTGATTCCAATCATTGTGCGATTGTTGAGCAACTCTGAAACACCCTAAAATGGTGACTTAATCTTAGTACAGCAGCACTTATCCTATAAAAGAAAAACGAAGACCCAAGCATACCATCACACAGCTGTTATTTTGGTAAAACATTCAAGTATCAAAATAGTCCCAACTATTTACATTAGGCCACTTTAGTCCCGCGATTTATAAAAATGCTAAAAAAATCCCCAGCTGTTTTAAAATGAGCCAAAATACTCTTAATTGGAGACTAATTAAATCCATAATAAAAATATATATGGGACTAAATTGACAAACTATTATAAACTCTGGGACTAAAATGAACTCTTGTAAGGAGTTGGGGACTAATTTGACACTTTGCTATAACTTGTTATAGAGTAAACTCACAGCTATTAACTCTTTTCTAGCTTCTTGCAGTTCATCATTGCTCTTTCTTTCTTTAACAACCAAAGCTTGATTTAGCGCATCAAGATCTTCCAATTCTTCATTTTTCTCTCTGAGTTCTTCACTGAGCTTGTCTATTTTCTTATAAACTTCTTCCCCTACCAGTAAATTCATTACTTCTAGACTGCCTTTCTGCTGCTGTATTTCTAGCTCAAGCTTTTGCTTCTCATGTAGTTGCCTTTCTAAATTAAGTATCTTCTTAATGGTAGCCTCCTTCTCTTTCTGCAAGTTTTATCTTATTGGTGAGCTAGCAGTGGTACTAGATTTTGTATAATATTTTAAGGGAGAATTTCCATATGTAGCACACAGTTCTTACGTATTTTACATATCTCACACCTAAACTTCTATATTTACATGCACAGCACTTTCACTTTTAAAAGTGGTAATATTGTTATTTTTTATGTGATATTAAATATTTGAGTGTTTTTCGTAAAAATATAATAGTTTAGGCGTGTAGTTAGAACCTCCTGCCGGGCATTGCAATATTTTTTTGTGAAGAAATAAAATTCCCTACGGGGTTCATATATATATATATATATATATATATATATATATATAAAGATGGCGGTTGTGCTTGTGGTTGCTCTGCTAGAGTTTTCATGGAATGGCTGAGGTTTGGATCTTCGTGGTGGCTCTCAATCCTTCTTCTCGTTTTCTCCTTTCTCCAAGTGCTTTCCTCAGTTTTCTCTTATTGGTGGCTGCTGGTTTTCTTGTTTTCCTCTTTCCCGAGCGACCTATTTTCAAAAAGTTTACTGTTCCATTGAAGTGTGATCTGATGGCTGAGCCAAATACCTTGGATTTGGCCACTAACATACAATGGACAAAGGCTACCTTTGCTGACATTGTAGGAAAAGGCTTTGATACTATTAAAAATTATGATGACCTGGTTTTTCCACAGGCTTATCATGAGGGGGCGGACCCCATTATTAAGCCTTTAAGCAGGAAAGGAGGGAAGATGGCTATTTTTTATTCTGAGGATCTTCAAGGGTTGACTAAGGTTTGCAAGTTCACTCTCATAGAATATTTCAGCTGGGGCATCCTAAAATGGAAGCTATTCAAAAATTTTACAGATTGAAGAGATTACAATGAAGATCCTCAAGTGGTCCACAGAGTTTGATCCTAGCAAGGAACTTCCTATTGTACCTATTTGGTTTAAACTTCCAGGGCTCAAGCTTCACCTCTTCAACCACAAAGTCCTCTTCAACATTGGGCAAGCTTTGGGTAGACCACTGAAATTGGATGTCCCTACTTTTAACTTATCAAGACCTTTTGTAGCAAGAATTCTGGTGGAAAGGGACATTACCCTCCCTGATGTTGATGAAATCTGGTTAGGCATTGAGCATAATGGTTATTGGCAAAAGATCATAGTTGAACAGAAACCTTATTACTGTCACCAGTGCAAAATGTTTGGGCACACAGATGTTAGATGCTTCAGACTACATCCCCACCTCAGGAAAATGGCAGATAATAATCCTTTGCCCCCCAATGTAGCTGTGTTGAACTCCCCAGTTCTGGAAGTTTAGAATGTTTTGCTGGGGGCTGAGGCTACTAGTGTTAACCATCAAACACTATATATTGAGGAATCTCTGGGCAAATCTCCACTCAATTTTGAGGCAGGACCTTCTGCGTATAACCCAGATATTCAAGAACCTGACCGTGAGCTGGTAACTGAAAGAGTTGATGAAGATAGGGAAAAAGAATCACTTTCTCCAGGTTTGCAAGTCTTTGATGATCATCAGGATATTAGAGGTGTGGATCAATGGGATCATCCTGTGGATGATAACTTGGTCCTGCAACTGAATAATGCCATGGAAGAAGAATGCCAAGTTCAAAAATCTAGAAAAAAGAAGAAAGGAATCTTGGAATTGAAAAAATTGCAGAAAAGTGATTATTTTTTTAGGGAAAGAAACTCTCATCAAGGAAGGAGGCAATGGCAAGAACCAGAAGGAAGGGAAAATCCATCTCCATTGGATGATGCACTTTCTATGTTGGAATGTTAGGGGATTGGCACATCCTAAATTCCTTAACAGAATCCTTGCACTTTAGGATGTACAAATTTTGGATCTTGGTTATCTTGGAGCCCATGGTTTCCAAAAAGCTCTCATAAAATCCTAAAGAAGTTTCCTGGCTTTAATAAATTCTCAAATCTCAATAATAAAATCTGGGTGCTTTGAGGGGGGGAGGTTCTTTGTAATATTCTATGGGATCATCCACAATTTCTCCACATTCAGTTCAACATTGGTGGTCAGGATGGTTTGGCCACTTTCATATATGCTGGGAGTTCTGCTTTTGCTAGAAGGGAGTTATGGGGCAGCCTTCAATCTATTAGTAGGTCCTGCAATTCTATTTGGTTGGTTGGCGGAGACTTCAACTGTATTTCAGCACCTTCTAAAAAATTGGGAGGAAGGTCTCCAGATATTAATCAGATCAACTATTCTAATGACAATATCAGTTTGACTGGTCTATTTGACCTGGGCTTCAATGGTCCTAGGTTCACTTGGAGAAGAGTCTCTCTGGGAAAGGTTGGATAGAATGCTTGTCAACTCCTTATGGTTGAGTGAATGCTTACACACTTCTGTTCAGCACCTTAGCATGACTGGCTCAGACCACAGGCCATTACTCATCTCCATTTCTGCCTCCCCCACAAAGCACAAGTCCAGATTTAGATATCTTAATATGTGGTCCTCCCACAATGATTTTCTTAACCAAGTGGCCCAGGTGTGGAAGGACTGTTACCATCAAAACCCTTTGATTAAATTGTGGTTACTAGACAAAAAGATGGGCAGACATCTTTCTGCTTGGAATTGGTCAGTGGTGGGTGATGCCAATTTGAAGGTCCAAGAGGTTGAAAGATCTGTTGCTCAGTTAGAGGCAAGCTTGGAATCTAATCTTGATCTGAAAATGAAACCCTAATGAATGCAATATTTATGCATGAGGAATTCTATCCTCAAAAGGCTGCAAAGACTAAATTTTGTGAGGGGGACAGGAACAAAAAATACTTCCATGCTTGTATCAATTACAGGAGGAAATGTAACACCATCCATAAAATTCAGGATTCCTCTGGGGTTTGGGATCCTTCTGCTGATTCAATTGCATCTAGTGGTGTCAATTTCTTTCAAAATCTATTTACCCAGCCTCCAGGCACTAGATCCCCCATTCAAAAGAAACCGTTCAGTCTTACCAAGGATTACACAAGGGACTTTGACCTTGCTTATATACCTGATGAGGAGGAAGTCTGGGCAGCCCTAGCTTCCATTGATAGTTCCAAAGTTGCTGGTTTTGATGGTTTTTCTGCAGATTTCTACAAAAAGGCATGGAAGATCATTAAAAGTGATATTTTGGAAGTTGTACAGTGATGGATTTTCTACAGATTTCTACAAAAAGGCCTGAAGACCATCAAAATTGAAGCTGTTCAAAGCTTCTTTAGGGGTATGGATCTCCCAAACTACTTTAAATGCTCCACAATTACTTTAATCCCCAAAAACACTTCTAAACAGAATTGGGATCATTTTAGGTCTATCAGCCTAACTAATATACTGTCCAAGATCATTAGTAAAATGATCTCTAATAGAATTCAACCTCACTTACCCCATCTCATATGTGAAAATCAATCAGCATTTATTAAAGGGAGAAGCATTGTGGAGAAAGTCCTTTTGGCCCAAGAATTAGTCCTTGATATCAAAAAAGCTTATGATACTATCCATTGGGGCTTTATTGAGGAGGGATTAACAGCTAGAGGTTTTTCTGCCTCCTTCATCTCTTTGATTAACAGGTGGTTATCTAACAACTATCATTTCATCTTCATTAATGGCATGTCACATGGTTTTTTCAGTGCTTGTAGAGGTATCAAGCAAGGTGATCCCTTGTCCCCCACTATTTTTATTGTTGCCTTTGATTATTTGTCTAGGCTTCTTAATCAGCTATTGGCCAATTCTCCCCATTCTTTATATAGTCACAAATCCAACATAGTTGTTAAACATCTAGCCTTTGCTGATGATGTAATTGTATTTGCTAAAACCACCAAGCCAACCGTCAGATTGTTTGTTCAATGTTTGGAAAAGTTTCAAGCTTGTTCTGAATGCAGTTCAATGCCCAGAAATGCCAGGTTGTATTCAGCCAAAGGGTTAAGCATGATATCAAACACTGGATCACTGATCTGACTGGCTTCTGCACTAGCTCCCTCCCTCTAAAATATTTGGGAGCCTTGTTGTTTAAAAGGACTAGACAAATCCAGTTTGAGCGGGCTAAGTTGGTCTAGCCTGGTCACTAGGATCCATTTGGTGGTTGTGGTGTCATTACTTTGGTCAGTTTGGCATCTGAAAAGTGTTTTGGCTGCCCTCCCTTCCTATTCATCCCAGGTAGCTGTCATGAAAAAATCTATCCAGAATACACTTGAAAGAACCTTTAATTGTTTCCTTTGGGCTGGACAAAGAAAGCAAGTGCACTGGGTAAGATGGGCGAAGATCTGTAAAAGTACCAGAGCTGAGGGACTGGGTTTCAGAAGCTTTCAACAGATCACACAAATTAACTTTTGTAAACTATGGATTATGATCAGAGCACAGAACTCTCTATGGGCCAAATTTATGAAAGGAAAATATTGCAAAGATCTTCATCCCTCCTTAGTATCCAGGAAATTGGGAGACTCAAGAACTTGGGTCAACTTGTTGAAAGTCAGATCCAAGGCTTAAAATCTTTTCATATGAGAATTGGGGGAGGGCAGGATTAATTTTTGGCTTGATAATTGGACTGGGGAAGGCAAGTTCATATCACATTCCCTCATTCAGTTGATTTCTCTACATAGGTAGCAGATCTTTGGACTGATGGCAATTGGAACCTGCAGGCTCTAAACAACATTCTTGACACTTCTCAAATCCATAAAGTTATGAGGATCTCTCTAGATTCTTTCAAGAAAGATAAACTAATTGTCAAAAAGGGTTTATCACAGACCCTTTCTGTTGCTATTTCCAGATCTTGTTTCCCTCAGCAGGAGGTTCCTTGGGGAATAATGGTTTGGACTAAATTCTTGTTCCCTTCTATGTCTTTCTTCCCTTGGAGACTCATCCATGGATCGCTTCCCGCTGATGATATATTGAAATTGAAGGGTCTGAGGGGCATCTCTAGGTGTGCTTTATGCAAAACTGAGGAGGAATCAATACAACACCTGTTCTTTAATTGTTCTATCAGTTAGCAAGTCTGGAACTTTTTTATGCCCAACATGAAGATCAATACTATCATGCTTTCCTGGTATGACTTTTTTCAGAGTTGGCAGGATTGGCTTTCTTAATCTCGACCTACTGTACCATGTATTACAGCCTAGTTTGTTTGAATGGCAAGAAACCAAATTAAGTTTGAAGAAGCTAAGTTGGGAGCAGCTGCCATAGCTACTAAGTGTTTTAGTTATCTACTGAAACTTTCATGTCATAAGAAGCTACCTGACATACTCTGCCAGTGTATCTCTTCTACTCCAAGGACTCTCTTATACATTAATTTTTTGGAAGCCCCCTCCAACAGGGTGGGTTAAAGTCAACACTGATGGCAGCTTTTCTGCTCCACATGTAGGGGTGGGAGGTGTCTTTAGAGATGATAAGGGAAATTGTTTGCTTCATTTCCATTCCCCAACACGGGCTGAAGACTCTCTGGATGTTGAAACCCAAGCTATTTTCTGGGCCGTCTTTATTGCTCAAAAGTGTGGATTTGGCCATTTAATAGTTGAATCTGATTCTTAGATTCTTGTTAACATTTTAAAGGGTTGGAATCTACAGTATTGGTATGATAATATTCAAAGAATGAGTTTGAGACTAAGGCTTCAATATTCTCACACTTACACGGAAGGAAACAGACAAGCTAATGGCTTGCCAAGCTTGCACTCCACTCTGAGGAAACTCTGATTAGTAAAAGCCCCACTCCCCCTTTATCTTTATTTTTGAAGGGAGACCATGTGGCTCTCCCTTCTATTAGAATTGTTGTTTAATTGAGATGTTTTAGGGAGGCTTTTTATTCCCACTTTTTGTAACTTTTTTTGGTTTAATGAATTAGGTGCTTTTCAGCTTCTTTACAATATATATATATCTT